AAATCTTAGGCAATCAGTAGTGAAATATCTCAAGTTCATATATCACATAGATAAACACACAGAATGGGATGTCCTCTCAAAAATGTAATTGTTCCCCAACCTATTATAGAGAAATGCCATTTTTCTGATAAAGGGGTTAAAAGTATTTAGTTAGCAACTTAACTTTGAAGTTATATACTTTTAGTCCACCACCAACGCTTACCAAGTTGCTGTTTTATTTGCTAGAGCTTTAAATATCATTAAGCAGTATCATTTATCTTATTTAGGACGTTAAGTTTAATTCTCATTTTAAGCTCTCATCTCCCTCATGTTCTTAAATTAATTCATACAAATCCCTGATTAATAATAGAAGGGCTTGCCATCAGTATTCAAAGCCCAGCCTGTGCTGTCATGGCTGAGAGGGCAGAAATCTGCTTGGAGCAATGAGAGAACCCAACTGAATTCTTGGCGTCTCAGTCTATGAATGTGTAAGCACTTCATCGAATGTTCTGGCAGGCTGGGGTAAAGGTAGCTGCATGGGTAACAAACTGGAAAACCTGGGAAGCTACTATATCAAAGTAACTGAATGATACAGAAGCAATACATTTACAAGTTTTCCTTTTATTTTCACCAAAAAAGGGTGTTATTAGTGTAAGCTGTTTGTGTTCTAAACATTTATGTTATCCCTTTCACTGCTGTCCAATAATCTCTGCAAAGGTCACGTGTGAATCTGATTTTCAGTACTATTTTTACATTTATCCAAACCCAGAGAATGTACAACACCAAGAATCAACCCTGAGGTAAACTAGGAACTTGGGTGGTTCTGATATCTCAATGTAGGTTCATACTTGGAAAAAAAAAAGAAAAGAAAAATTACCATTCTGATGAGTGATATTAATAAAGGAGGAGGCTCTACATGTGTGGGGTATGGAGGTACGTGGGAAATCTTTGTACCTTCCTCTCGATTTTATTGTAAACCTAAAACTGCTCTAAAAAATTAAGTTAAAAAAAAAGAGGTGAGTGGCTTCTTCATTCATCTCTTCATTATAGTCTCATTCTTTATTCATATTATTCATTAAGAATAATCAAGGTAACTAAAATTTATTGAGTGCTTACTATTTATGTGTCAGATACTATTTACCTGCTTTATATATATTAACTCATTTAACCCTCAGACACAGGTGCTATTATTATTACCATTTTACACATTAGGAAACTAAATCACAGAAAAACTAAATCACAGAAAGGACATACAGCTAGAAAGTAACAGCGCTAAGACTTGAACCTATGTAGTCCAGCTCATCACCATTATATTATACTGCTTCTAGTTATTCATTCTTTCAATCATCCATTAATTCATCTTTTTTTAAAGTTTTATTCCTTGTTCCCTCCTAACTTTTATTTTATTTTTGTTAATCTTCACCTGAGGATATTTTTCCATTGACTTTTAGAGGGAGGGAGGGAGGAAGGGGGAGAGATAGTCAGTGGGGGAGGAAGGCGGAGGGAAAGGGAGGAAGAGAAAGATACAGAAACATAAATGTGAGAGAAACACATCAATTGGTTGCCTCCTGCAAACACTCCAACCAGGGCCAGGGATCAAACCTGCAACCTAGGCATGTGCCCTTGACTGAAATCGAACCCAAGACTCTTAGGTGCATTGCGCCACCGGCCAGGGCAATTCATCTTTTTTTTTTTTTTGAGCATTTGGAATATGCCAAAACTCTAATGGAAACATTTTCAACAAGGAAGATCTCAAAACATTTACTTTCTCAGGCAGTTATTGAAGGAAATACTGCATCAAAGCCAGGAAATGAATAAGGGAGGGAGATCATCAAAACAGGAAAATAAACAGTAAGAGATGAAGACCTAGGATCAGAAAACAGAAGAATCCAGAAGAAAGGGGAAGAGAATTCCCAGGACAGGATGACATCTATGCAACAGGTCCGGAGAGTAGCCAGTCTGCATTATAGATGAAGAAGGAAAGAGGTTTTCAGAAGGAACATTGCTAAAAAATATATGGGATTGAATACCTAATGTGTTTGTACAGAGAAGACCTCTGTTGGGCAATCTGAGGAAAAAATTAATGGCAGAAACATAGAAAATATAAAAACAAAGAAAAGAGGCAATTATTAACCTTGAGTAAAACAAAATGTTGTCCCCGGTATGCAGACTGTATTTTTCATAACTATATAATTTTTCATTCTCTTCCCACCCTCGCCTTTCTTTTCTATAATCAAAGCAGACTTCCTACCATTACTGCCCTGGGACTTGCCCTTGTAACTTGTTTTGGCCAAAGGACTCTGAGTAGATGTGACACATGCCTCATCCAAGCAAAATCTTTAAATGTATTTGTGGATATGGTCTTTCTGCCTTTAGTTTCTGCCCCTATCTATTGAGATTGGATCTCAGAATGAGAAAATACACAAAATCAAGATGAACTGATCCCAAACAAGGCTAGCAGAACCCAGCAGAGCCTCAAGTGACCCCAAAACCCTTTTGAAATATGAGAGAGAGAAAAAAAGAAATGTTTTTGTTAGCCAATGAAATTTGGGGTTGTTTTTGCTACAGCAAAAGCTAACACATATAGTACAATCCATAGCTCAACAATGGACAATATTTATGTAGTCATAATATAACTAATTATATTACACTAGAGGCCTGGTGCACAAAAATTCGTACACTCCGGGAGGTCCCTCAGTCTGAGACCCCTCGGGGGATGTCCACCTGCCGGCTTAGGCCCGCTCCCAGGGGGACCGGGCCTAAGCTGGCAGTCATAGACATCCCTCTGGCAGCCTGGGAGTCCTTGGGGGATGTCCACCTGCCGGCTTAGGCCCGCTCCCCAGGAGATCGGGCCTAAGCTGGCAGTCAAGCATCCCTCTGGCAGCCCGGGAGCCCCTGGCAGTGGGGAGCAGGCCTAAGCCACAGTCAGACATCCTTAGCACTGCCGAGGAGATGGGAGAGGCTACCACCACTACTGCTGTGCTTGCAGCCGTCAGCCTGGCTTATGGCTGAGCAGAGCTCGCCCTGTGGGAGCACACTGATGACCAGGGGCAAGCTCCTGTGTTGAGCAGTGCGTGTCATAGTGACCAGTCGTTCCTGGGTTGTTCCGCTGTTAGGGTCAATTTGCATATTACCCCTTTATTATATAGGATTATGTAGGTAAACTGCAAAAGAAACAACTAAAAGAATGGAAAATTTTTGCCTCAAGGGAGCTAGAATCAAATGTGAGAAGGATGCAGGTAAGGGAGTACTTTTTTGTTTTAAGACATAATTTGATATAATTTGAACTATTCACATGTATTAATTTTATAAAAAATCTTAACTCAGGAGCACAAAAATAAGAAAAGACAATAAAATCAAGGGAAATAATCATGCCTGATTCCCTAAGAAAAAGTATTCTGATCCTGAAAGGCAAAGACCCTTAGCTGGAATCATGACCTAGTTTTATTATTTCACAATCTGGCATCTACTTTTCTCTAGCTACATTTTTCTTGATGGTTTGTTTCAATACTTAGGAGAAAACAAACAGTATTACTGGTTCCCCTTTACTATAGAATTACAGCCTTACATTTTCAGTTCTAGATGTCATTGACAATATGTTACAGGAAAGATGTTGCCTAAAGTGAGATAATACCGAGTGGGACAAAAGTAGGTTTACAGTTGTTCATATGGAAAATAATAATTAATAAAGAATAAACTCTGTTTTGCATAATCACAAAGGGCTATCCTATACAGAGAGCTCTCAATTAATACATAAGTTGATCATTTATCTACTCTACACATCATCTATGACCACTGCATGCCCTTTTCCTAACAATTGCCACCTGCTGGTCATTTCAATCAGCTTTCACTGTATTACCAAAGAATGAGAAAAATAATTAAAAGTGAATTAAAGTCTGCATCTTTTTTAAAAACTAAAATTCAGGGACAATTTAAGCTCAATAAATAGTATTATTCACAAAACAAATAAACTTAAGAAATAATATATTTTACAAAATATATTTAAATAGTGGGCCCACATTTAAATGATTGGATTTACCAAAATTCTGAGTTTTCTAGAAATATACTTATTGAGTAAAGGACAATATACCATTTAAGATATAATGATAGAGAACACTAAAGCTACTTATAATATTTCTTTATATATATATATTTTTTTTTATTGATTTTAGAAAGGAGCAAGAGAGAGAGACAGACAGAAACATCAATGAGAGTCATTGATTGGCCGCCTCCTAAACACCCCACACCAGGGATCGAGCACGCAATCTGCATGTGCCCCGACTGAGAATTGAACCCTGACCTCTATGTTCATAGGTTGACGCTCAACCACTGAGCCACGCCAGCTGGGCTAAATATTTTTATACTAGAGGCCTGATGCATGAAATTCATACAAGAGTAGGCCTTCCTTCCCCCGGCTGCTGGCACCGGCTTCCCTCTGGCACCCAGGACCCAGGCTTCCCTCCGGCCGCCGGCAGGCACCCAGGACTGGCTGGGGCTTCCCTCCAGCTGCCAGCAGGCACCCCGGACCCAAGCTTTCCTCCAGCTGCCGGCAGGCACCCAGGACCCGCTGGGGCTTCCCTCCAGCTGCCGACAGGCACCCCGGACCCAAGCTTTCCTCCAGCTGCCAGCAGGCACCCAGGACCCAGGGCTTCCCTCACAGCCCCAGCTTCATCCAGAAGGTCGTCCAGAAGGATGTCCGGCTGAATTAGCACATTATGTTTTTATTATTATAGATTTCCTATAGATCCTACTTATGTTAACTGTCTCTCCCTTTATCATAAACAAATATGAATTATTTGAGTGCAAGTTTCACATAGTAGCTTCTGTGCCATGACAGAAATATGATGGCTAGATACACAGGAAGTATCTTCACTGGCTGACACCATCTCATTTAGATATTCTGACATTCTCTTAACCATACTGTTCTTTGAATTGTAGTTCACAGGCCTGCCATTTAGAAAAAAGCACTGGGGCAGAACAAGAAAGCATAAGAATATAATTACAGGGCATGTTTTTCATACCTCTTCATCTTTCATATTCACATCCACATTTTTTGATTTGATGACTTTGGATATATGGTCAATGTTGTTTTCTCTGCAGTAATCAAATATGTTTTTGTCTTCTTCCCTAATGAGAGTAAAAATAAAAAGTCACATATTTTTAATACAACCTGATTGCTGCTGACAAACATTAATAAAATCTGTTTTTATAAAGGATTTTACATGAACAATAATGGATTTTCAATAAGACATAATACATCCAACCTCTGAAAAAGACGAAAGTTCTTATCTATCTACACTAATAAAAGATAAACATACAAATTGACTGTACCTTTTGCTATGCCTTAAGCCATGCCCACCAGCCAATCAGAGCAACTATATGCAAATTAACCCAACCAAGATGGCGGCTGGCAGCCACGAAGCTGGAGCAAGCAGGAGGCTTGGTTGCCCCAATGATGGAGGAAGCCAAGCTTCCCGCTTGCCACAGCGGGCTCTGAGCTCCACTCAAAGCAACCAAGTTTCAATTATAGAAGGTAAATAAACCCCAGATACCTGCTTTCAGCCCGCTGTGGCCATGGAGCTGAAGCGAGCAGGAGGCTTCCCTCCCACCTGCCCTGGCCCGCTCTGAGCTCCTCTCAAGGCTACAAAGTTTCAATTAGAGAAGGTAAATAAATCCCAGAATAAAAAGAAAAAAAAAGAAAAAAAGGAGAGGCTGGGAGCTTCCGTCGCCGGGGGGCTTGGTCAGCCTGAAAATGGCCCTCAGCCCCTCACCCAGACTGGCCAGGCACCCCAGAAGGACCCCCACCCTAAAGGGCCTGAAGGGGGTGTGACCAGCCTGCAAACAGCCATCAGCCCCTCACCCAGGCTGGACAGGAACCCCAGTGGGAACCCCCACCCTGAAGGGGGTGTGACCAGCCTGCAAACAGCCATCAGCCCCTCACCCAGGCTGGACAGGAACCCCAGTGGGAACCCCCACCCTGAAGGGGGTGTGACCAGCCTGCAAACAGCCATCAGCCCCTCACCCAGGCTGGCCAGGCACCCCAGCGGGACCCCCACCCTGATCCAGGACACCCTTCAGGGCAAACCAGCCGGCCCCCACCCATGCACCAGGCCTCTATCCTATATAATAAAAGGGTAATATGCAAACTGACCCTAACAGCAGAATGACTGGGAATGACTGGTCACTATGACACACACTGACCACCAGGGGGCAGACGCTCATGCAGGAGCTGGCCCCTGGTGGTCTGTGCGCTCCCACAGGGGGAGCTCTGCTCAGCCACAAGCCAGGCTGACAGCTGCCAGTACAGAGGTGGTGGTGGGAGCCTCTCCAGCTTCCTCAGCAGCGCTAAGGATGTCCGATTGCAGCTTAGGCCTGCTCCCCGCTGGCAAGTGGACATCCCCCGAGGGCTCCCGGGCTGCCAGAGGGATGTCTGACTGCCAGCTCGGGCCCAATCCCCCAAGGAGTGGGCCTAAGCCAGCAGGTGGACATCCTCCGAGGGGTCCCAGACTGCAAGAGGGCATAGGTCGGGCTGAGGGACACCCCCCGAGTGCACAAATTTTTGTGCACTGGGCCTCTAGTATATATATAAAACCCTAAGCAACCGGTCAACCGTTCGACAGGTCACTATGATGTGCACTGACCACCAAGGGGCAGACGCTCAACGCAGGAGCTGCCCCCTCATGGTCAGTGCACTCCCACAGTGGGAATGATGCTCAGCGAGCTTACCAAGTGCCAGTAGCAGCAGGTGCAGCGGGGCCCGGATGAGTGGGAGCAGCGCAGCGCCCTGCCTGGGCTTGGGCTCCTCCCTGGTCGCCTGCCACTTCATGCACTACTACATCCCCTGAGGGGTCCCAGATTGCAAGAGGGCGCAGGCCATGCTGAGTGACCCCACCGGTGCATGAATCCATGCACCAGGCCTCTAGTCAACTATAATTGTAAGGAAATGCTTCACTGCTTTAACAAGTCACACCAGCACAATAACATAACAACTTCAGTAGATTATCTCAGTGCTCTTTTCCTCCCCCAGTTACTTTCACACACTGACAGGCACATACTTCCTTTGTCTCAGAATTTTCCATTGTAGCAGTGAGATAAGAAGCACTGTAATGTCTATACAGAGGCATCAAAAGATCAGAATACAGCTTACTGCTTGTCTTAAGGAACAATAGAATGACAAGTTGATTGTTACTCAAATTTTATACACACACACATACACACACACACACACACACAAGTAATTTTCTTAAGGGAAAGATAATTAGAGCATCACAAAATTCAGAAATCCTACGTGAGATAATAGAAACAAAGACTGGGAACAAAATCTGAGAAGCATACTAGGTACCCAACACCATTCTAAGTACATGTACTTAGAATTAATGTACACTTATCCAATAACTTCAGAAAGAACAAGGAGAGATTACATGATCCTCCAAATGGCATCGAATTTACCAAAGGTAGAACAAGAGAGCTAGAACTCACTCAGATCAATTGATTTTATATATAGTACATTTTTCTATTATATCTAGCTACATCTCGACTAGTCAACTGTAATCTATTCTACACACAAAAGCAGTTCCTAACATGAGGTCTTTGAGTTCTCTAAAACAGGATACAGAACTATCTATGTAAATGCATGTGCATTTTTCTGAATGTGTGTGTTGTGTGTTTCTGTGTGTGCGTGTGGGGGGGGGTTGTTGAGGGGAAGGTAGCTTCAATGAGATTCTCAAAAGGATAAATCCTTTGGAATATTAAAATGAAACTGTTTCCTATGTGGACTGCATTTTCTGGTCAGGCTTAAAAAATGCAATTTGAGCTCTAAAAACTAGTGTTTTATAATCTCAAGACCGTGCTTCCATTCATCAGAAATTAAGGCATCTAGCCATAGGAGTCCTCCTATTTTAAAAGCCAATTTAAATACTTCATACCCTATAAAAAATATTTTCAGTCAGAGGTAATTACATTAAAATACACTACTTTGGCCTTATTCATCTAAGTTTTCCTTATGCATTTGATGTATTCAGTTGAGCACTTACTACATGCAAGGTACTGGGCAAGATTCTGTTGGTAATAAGTAACAAGGATAAGCAAAAAGCTTTGCATTCAATATATGCACAGTAGAGTTGGGATGATATTATCGATGCACCAGTAACATAGGGTATAACTGGATCTTTAGAAAGGCCTAAAAAAGTACAGAGGAGAAACAGTCTGCCTCAAGCTGGAGAAAATGAGGTACATGTGCAGGAAGAAATCATGTTTAAAAGCAAAACAGAGGTGAGCAAAAGTAGGTTTATAGTTGCTCATATGGAAAATAACACAACAATTAATAAATAATCCAAGAATACACTTGTGTTTCACATATTCACAACTGCAAACCTACTTTTATGGTCTCTTGAAAATGTCCATTTTGTAGAAGAGAAAAATGCTTTTCTAGATTACCTACTCTGAAATTAGAGAAGTCTGAGGCTAAAACCCCAGAAAGGAGAAGTCTGATTTTAAAAATTAAGGTTGCAAATAGTACCACTTCAGCTATATTTAGCTACAACCAAAAAACACAGTTTCTATGAAAACATGTATTCAGAATACCAACTTGGTAATAATAGGGACCTATTTTCCTCCAGTACAGTAACAGAGACCCCTCTAATTCAAGAGGCAGCAACTTCAACTGTGAGAGAAAGAGCTGTGTCATTTTAAGTCATCATATAAAATATACTACTTACCAATTGTTTTGAATTTGAAAATAATGGGGAGTTGATGGTGGGGCACAGAAAGGAAAGTAAGGAGGACCCTTGGGATGTCAGTTACTCATACCCAATAACATGGAAGGGCTAGTCATAGATAAGAAAACCTTCTGCGTGGTCTCTTTTCCTGAATCTCAAATGTGCATGTACACCTATGTCTTAAACAGTGTACAAGAGTAAATATAGTACAAACATATTCAAACTTTTATTTTGCTTAATATATTGTCAATGTTCCTTATGTGCATCAAATATTCTGATTTGGTATAAGAGTTTTTAGAGGGCAGAGGCAGTTTTTCATCTGAATACCTGCTTATTGTCTGTACTTTTTCATTGCTAAATATGTCAGGCACATAGAAGTATTTAGAAAATACTTCAGGGTAGAGTATACAATGTAAATTAAATATCAAGAAGAAATTCAATAAAATCACCAACAATATGATACAAAGTTGAATGACTAATATTAAAAAAATTAAGTGATAATGCTTGGGCTTAGTTGTTGAGTAGTTCTCTATCCTCACTCCAAGTCTGACTTATCTTGCCAGCAACCAAGCTGTCAATACAATGTCACCACCTAGTGGCCAAAATGGAGAAACATCGGGAGCACTATCTTTCCATATCTCCTTTCTTGCCCCTAACAATATTATGTACAATATACAAATCAAATTCTCTCTTTCCCCTCTACATTTCCCTGTCAATAGTCTCCCAGAGGCAAACTCCCCTCTGGATCCATACTTAAAGGAAACATGTGCAAGTGATTCCAACCATTACCAAATACAGGAGAGCCTTAATACATGTTAGTGCCCTTTTACATGTTCTCAACTTATCTTCCTTTCTCTTATGATTCTTACCCAGTTATCGTTCTCCCTCTTTCCTCAATATAAGAGGTAAAATTATCATATCTGTTCTTTATGGATGAGTATGAGCTATATTTGTGACTACTTTCAAGGATATAGTCCCTCCCCACATTATTCCTAGCACAAGACAGAATGTCTCTCTTTAGATTACTCCCAATTTCCCGAAAATGACAGAAAATATATTTGTATATTTGAAGGAAAAAAATCACCGGCTCTCTTTGAAAAATAAAGGCACACCCTTATGAGAAAGAGGGATGGTGTTTAAGTATGGTCATCTTTCATCTACCACAGGAAGACTAGAACCTTGCCCATTCCTAGATATGCCATGTACCACTTTCTACAAAGACTGCATTTCCCTATCAAAAGAATATTTCAAATACTGTAGTCAAGTTTCATGGCAGGCAACCCACAGGTTGAGAACCGCTGTTCTAGGAAGTAAACCCAAAAGACTGTACTAAGAATTAGCAAACTACTATTAATTAAACTTGTTACTCTTTTGCATGAAAATACTGTTTAACATACTAGGAACGGTTTG